TGGCATTCGAAAAACTCAGATTTGTTCCTGACTCCAATAACTGTGACCTGAGAGAAGTCACAAATAATAATTTCTCCCTTGCTCGCATGGCTCAGTGGTTGAGCATCGACCTAAGATCCAGGAGATCGTGGTTCAATTCCCAGTCAGGGCACATGCCCTGGTTTCGGGCTTGATCCCCAGCAAGGGGCTTGCAGGAGGCAGCTGGTCAATGATTCTTATCATTAATGTTTCTATCTCTCTTTCCCTCTCCCTTCCTCCTTCTGAAATCAATAAAAATATATTTTAAAAAATAATTTCTCGGATTAGTTAATCCTTTAAACAAGGCAAAATTGTCCTTTTCCATGTGAAATAATCTTGTTGTGAGGAAGAATAATTGAATGTGCTATGACATCCCAAGTCATTAAGTGGGAGGACCTGGCAGCACTACCTTCATATGGCTAAGCACTTATTTGCAAAAGTTGATATGGATGGGAGCTTTAATTCTTTAATTATTTGGTTTTAATTCTTTAGCAGAGAGAATGGGGAGGTGGACCTCCAGGCCTAAGGAACAACAACAAGGAAAATAAAATATGGCTGGTGTCTGCTCCCCTGGGGAGGAGGCCTTTGGGGAGAAAAGGGAATAACATCGAGCCAGAGAGCCTGGTTTTGAAGCGTTCCTTAGAAAGTAGTCCAAGGCAAAGAAGTCTTGGGAATGGTGGCAGCATGGGGAATGTGATCCAGGCTTTATGGGAATCTATATTCGTCAGCTTGGGCTGCCATACAAAATACCACAGACTGGGAGGCTTAGACAACAAATTTATTTTCTCACAATCCTGGAGGTTGGAAAGTCCAAGATAAAGGTGCTGGCTGATTTGGTTCTGGGAAAGTCTCTTCCTTGACTGTCCTTACCTGGGTTGGTGGGGTGAGGAGGGTGATAGAGAGCAAGCTCTCTAATGTCTCTTCAAAGAAGAACACTAATCCTATCAGATCAGAGCCCCACCCTTATTACTTCATTTCACCTTAATTAATTATCTCCTTCTAGGCCCTATCTCCAAATACAGTCACCTTGAAGACTGAGGCTTCAACATAGGAATGGGGGGAGTGACACAATTCAGCCCATAGCAGAATCTTTCCACGGTATCTCTTTCTGCTGGTCGTCTGGCCACTAGATGACTAATCAACGACTCTAATGGTGAGAAATCATTAACTTCATTGTGGGAAAGCCCTAATGGTTAGAAAGCACAGGTCATAGGAAGTCATATTTGCCTTCCCCAAATTTCAGGGTTTTGTTTTGTTTTGTTTTTAATCCTCACACAAGGAAATTCTTTTTTTAGTGGAAGAGAGAGAGAAACATCGATGTGAGAGAGACACACTGATTGGTTGCCTCCCAAACACACCCCAACCGGAGCCAGGGATCAAGCCTGCAAGCAAGGTATGTGCCCTTGGCCGAAACTGAGCCGGGATCCTTCAGTCCTCTGGCTGATGCCTCAACCCCTGAGCCAAACAGCCTAGGCAAACTTCAGATTTTCTTTCATGTTGTCATCCTAGGATCATCACTAAATCAATCAATCAATCAATCAAAATCAAATCTCTCCCCTCACAGCAGCCCTTTAGCTAAAAATAACTGTAGTGATTGTGTATCTCAGTCTGCAACTCAAGTTTGCAAGAAATATAATTTCCTAGTTTTACCCAGGGGATGACTTTAAAAATCATCAAACTCAAGATTCTCCCTCCCTACCCACCACTTCTTTCACTTCCAACAACTAGGATGCATCTCCTTAAAAGCAGCCATGGAGGGAATGACACCTAATAAACTTTTCTGCCAAAAAAATTTCCCCATCACAGAATGTTTACTAATTACATATAAGTTTTACTGAAATGCCATGTGTTTGCTTTATCTCTCATACCATTACATTAAAATATATTTGGCCAAAGTGTTATTGGATCTTCATGTATTATAAGCTTTATTGTAGCCAGTTTACACTAATCACTATTGAGTTTTCTGATCATAAGCAGTCAAAGTATTATTTCAGAAGACTAACTCTCCCATCTATCCTGATGGGGAGGTTTAAAAACTAATTACTTTTATTCTTTTATGAGAGACCCCCTCCTCCAGGTCTTTTTCCTGGCCCAGAACCCAATAAGATTCTGCATTATT